CACCTTACTTTGAAGTTTATGGCAAGAGAGCATCAAGGAATCAATTTCCTCTTCAGAATGCATTTGCTCTGACTGTTTGTAAAACTCAAGGATTGGCCTTGCCAACATGTAACATTGAATGTTGACAATCTGTTACAAAAGTATGTTGCACTGATTTGGTTGAGTATTCTTTTTTTTAAAAAAAAAAAGGTCATTGGTTACACTATAATTTGCAAACATAGGCCATGAAAAAAGGTTACCGGTTACACTATAATTCGCGATATTATTTATTTTTAGTGTTTGTACATTACACTTATGATAGATCTTGTTAAAAATGAAAACTTTCTTACAATCTTCATCAAAATTATTCACTTCATTTTGCTAATTTTCATGAATTTATTAGTGCTAAACAAGTTATTTGCAAATGTGGTAAAACTATTTTTAGTTTATATGTAATATAATGACTCATTAATAATTTTTTTTTAGTAACTAACCTTGGCTTTGCAAATATTTCTGATATTCATTATGCAAGAATGGATTTTTATTAGTATTTTCTAATAATATCTTGTGTTTGGGAAAAGTTATTGCATTTATGAAAAACATGGACAAAGACATGCATGGGTTGAAAAGCTTGCAGGACTTTTGGATAATTTATCATATATTTCTATTAAAGTTTATATTCCAGTGTCTCAAATGATATTTTTCATATAAAAACATGGCAGGAGATTACAATCATATTACACCACAAGATGTAGTTTATTTCTGGGGGGCATGCTCATATTCCAATGTGAATCCTAATTTGATTTTAGTAGATAATGAAATTTTTTTTATTTACAATGCCAAATACACAAAATTTGCTTTCAATAATTTTTAATTAATAAATAAGTCTGCTTAAAAAAATTTTGCATCATTAATAAATTGTTAAATGTTACCATTTAATTAATTTGCTCAATTATAAAAAAGCAAGATTCGCGTTAATATGATCAGGTGCTTAATTTGGCAATAGAGTTTTCCCAGTCCTGCAATAATTGACAGTAGTAATGTCATTCTGAGGTAGGCAGAAAGAAATCGAAAAGAAGGTAAGTGCTAGGGTTTTATTCCTAAAAACAGTAACTTTTCATAATAGGAAAAAATAATAATTTCTGAAACATTGCTTTTAGCAAATTGACAGGTCCCCAAACAGGGGGGCATTTTAGAGCTACAAATTCACTTTACTTTCTTCAAAAACGAGGAGCAGATAAAAACACAGCTGGGATATAAAGAATTGCTGTGAAAATATTAGAACTTGATAATCATCAACATATATGTAAAACAAAAGAGAAAGAGACAGCTTCCCATTATGCCAAGTTTCTCTGACGCAACAATCCAGCACACTAATGTATACTTCAATTATACTTTATGAAAAATGAGCGATGAAAATTAATACCAAAATTATTTTGTGGTGCCATGTGCAGCATACCATTTATTTAATTACATTCATTTTTTAAATATTAAAATTATCTATATTCGAGATTTTCACCATACTAATGTATGTGAATTAAATTTCCGTAACTCTTTATTTAGTGAGAAAAAATTAGAAAATTTAGAAAATTAGTAAGTTAAAGTTAATTCAATTAATTAAATTATGATGATTACTAAAATAATATTAATTAATTCAACATATTACCTATGATTTTCCATCCAGTTGTGATGGGATCGAACAATTTTTCTTCATCCTTTGTGAGCACAATAATGTATGTAGACTGTTCAATTTTATCTTCACGACCATATTTAATTTCACCAGTTATTCTATCACGAAACACAATTACTTCTTGTACATTATATGTAAGATATAATACTGGAATATCAAAATCTAAGACTTTCCCGGTCACTATCTATTAAAAATAAATGAGTTAATATGTGTGTATGCATATACTTTAATATTGATATTATGATATTATTAATATAATTACATCTACGTCTCTAATATCTAAAATTTTTGAATCGTTAATTAGGCCTTCTTTAATTTCTGCTTCTAATTGATGCGAAAGCACTGCAAATAACTAAATTCATCCAAACTAATCAATTAATAAAAAAAAATTTTTTCATAACTAAAAATTTAATTAATTTAATCAATTTGATTAATTTAATAATTACTTCTTCTGAACACCACAATGCTAGTGTTTCAATATCTCCTTTTAATTTGGCTTCTGTTATTTCTGGTATAAGAAAATTTCTCGCTTCTTTCAAAAAATTTTCAGTATTAAATCGTGGATCGATAATTTTAAATTGCGCAATTGCTTGTGCCGTCTCGTTCTCTTGAAAAAATGAACCTAATAATATAATAATAATTACCTTTTTTTAGCGGAAATTTGATTATAATGAAATATTATATAGTCTGTTAGTATATATTACCAAATGTGTCAGAAACACTATCCGTGAAAGCTCTTGTATATGAAATGAAAATATTATCACTATCCTCATAATTTCTTTTCATTTTATATAAACCTAATCATCATAAATTTAAAATGTTTAGTACATGTGATATTATGTATATCATCAAATAAAGATTAATTAGAATAAAAACCTTGAAAAAATGTATTAGATTCTTTAAAGTTTTTCCAACTTTCTTTCCACGGAGAATCTCTATGTAATACCATAGATGCTCCTGCCCTTATAATGATGATAATAATTATACATTATTATTTACTAGAGATATATAAATTTAAAAACAAATTTAAAAATCAAAATGCCTACTCTGGATTTGGTTTAACAGCTCTTACATTTGTGCCATCTGGGTTTGTAACAGTATTTTCTTTAATCTTTCGTCTTGTTTCTTTATCAACGAATCCTCCATATGGCATATCATCTCCTACAGTTTCTTTCAGTGTATCTCGAATATTTGTATACACTTTTGTTTGTCTTATTGGTTCAGTGGTAGAAGATACTTTATCTGTAAAAGTCGATATCTATAATATTCAAATGTATGATGTGTAATTAATTATGTACACGTAAATATATAATACGCACACGTGTGATCCATTCATACCTTTTCTTTGCTTTCTTTCACAAATTGCGTCTCTCCTACTTCTTTGAGTGTATCTGATATACTATTTCCAATCTTTTCTGTGGATTTTTTAATAACATTCATAGATTGTTTAATTTTCTCTGAACCTGTTGTAGTTGTACTTTCAGCGCCTTCCTAAATCAAAACTTTTAGTTATTCTCTCATTCAATCTACATACATACATACATCTATAAATTAGAATTATTGTTTTCTTACTTTAGCTTTTATAAAAATTTCTTTGGCTTTCTTTAATGATTCAGATTCGCCTAATTGACCTGCTTGATCTTGTAATAATTTTACATTATCTTGAAGCTCTTTGCTTTTTTGAATTTGAATTCTTATTGTTTCAAAAAATTTAGCAAATGCACTCATATTACGCACATTACGACGACTTGAAAGAAATGTTGTCGTTGTTGTTGTTAATTTAAATTGTAATTTTGGTATTAAGTATTTGAAAAATATTTTATTTGACATTATTAAAAAAAAAAAAAAATAATAATAAGATTATCTGTCGAATGAATTAAGAATTTTGTCCAATTTGGTTTGTGAAACGAAAAATGCATTTTGATAAAATCGGGGAAAAAAAAATTGCTTTTTTCCAAAACAAAAAAAAATTTCTTGCATTTGAACATTATTACCAAAACAATTTTAATTTTTTTCTGTCAAGATGAATTCAACTAGTGTTGTTGACCTTTTGGATTATACCTTATTAAAAGATGATTTACCAAGAGTAATACGAATAGAATGTTTGTACTTTGAATAATTGATATTATTTAGATTTAAAGTTGAAAATTAATGTTTATATTATTTTTGTTGGGAAATATATCTATATATAGCAATTATAAAAATACTTCCAAAAATTTCACAATCTATCATCTCAGAAACTGATATAGAAATACTTAAAAAAATTATAATATGGAATGCATCAATGTACCCTTTCATATTTGAATCAATGTAAGTCTTTTGATTTGAAAAAATAAAAATCAAATGAAACAAAATTTTTCTTACTTATAAATTATATAATCAAAGGTGCCAAAATCCTGTGGATGCATCATTACTTTGGGATGATGTTTCCCTAATTAAAAAACAAATTATGAGCTTTTTTGATTCAGAAAAAACTAATGAGGGCATAAAATTATGCGCAGTAAAATATCTACAAGTAGTTGCCCGTGTTCAGTCTAGACATATGTCAGATTCAACGGTAAATTTAATAATAATTAATAGATAATATTTGTTAAATAAATAATAATAAGAATTTTTTTTGTTGATTTGATTCGATTTCATTATTAGGTTAAGGCTGAATCTGATATTTCGTTATCCTTATGTCCGCCATCTCATTCAATATTAGATATACAGGCATTAGAAAAAGAATCAATATCAATAGTGAATGGATTATTATCTTTTCTTGACACAGAGTTTGTATTGTTTTCTCGATATTTTATTCCAAAAAATATTCTAAATAAATGTTAATAAACATAATTTTTATGAATTTTTAATAGATCAAGTATTGTAATTACAGCAATGATCAATGCAATGGGATCTATATTGAGATCACGTCCACAATATATTCAAGTTTTATTAAATGTTGTTAAAGTATGGTGTAAGAATGATATGCCAAAACATTTTACTGAATTACAATTACAAAGCATTAAAAAAACGATCAAAATACATTTAATATCACTTTTAAGGTACAACTTTTTATATAAATATATAAATAGCTTATATTTCAACTATTAAAAATATTTATTAATTTATTAAAAATCTGTGCCAGAATTTATGAATCATCTCCTATTATGGCTAATGAGATATTTGATTGTATAATACTCTTGGGAGGAAAGAATGATCCATCTAAATTTTCAAGACAATTTCGAAGAATGGTTCAACAACAACAAGATAACGAATTGTTAAATGGAAATTTACCAAGTTCAGGCTATGATATCCTTTTGTTTAAAATTTTTTTTGAGAAAATGAAAAAAAAACGACTTAATTTATAATAATAATATATGTTTGTATTGTTTCCTTAACAAATATAGTTAATTAATTAATAAAACATCCCTCATTGGAACCATTTTCTCCACAAAATTTTGATCCGACGCAGTTTTCTTTATCATTTATCATTGATGCAATTCAATTAACTTTACAAAATATATCACAAGAAAAATTGGATCAACTTAAACAAGTTGGTGTTTTATTCACATTTGATTTTTTTTTTTACTAAAAAAATTACAATTTAAATGACTTTTAAAATATAGGAAATATTAGAAGGCGAAAAAAATCAATCAATGGTAGTAGATGTTGAACAAGAAAAAAGTGAAATACTTGATCCAAGGTTGAAATCTGATGTTGAAGAAGAAGAAGATTATGATGAGGATAAGGATGTGAATATGGATATGGATAAGGGCAAGGATGAGGGCAAGGATGAGAATGATCAGAATGATCAGAAAATGGAGGATAGGGAAGGGGGAAAACAAGATGATGAAGATGATGAAGACGAAGATTTATATAAATCAGAAATATCCAAATCACCAAATTTTCCTTCTGTTGTTGATATGGCAAAAGATGGATCAGAACCTAACAAATTAGACAATTTTGATTATGAAGATGAGAAAATGGATTATCCGGTCGAAGAGAAAAACATTAAATTAGACACAGAAGAAAAAATTATTAAATCAGATGAAGCAACAGTTGAAAAAAACATTGCCTCATCATCATCATCATCATCACCATCACCATCACTTGCAACAGTTGTCAATCAAGCATTTAAGTACCAATATATACTCCCGCCACCATCAACATTATCAGAAGAGGAATCACACAATTTTGTCAAAATGGCACTTAAGAATATGTTAGAAGTTGAAGGGGTAATACCTGCAGATGCAAAGAGTAACAAACGATCTAGTATAGTCTCGACGACTTTGTCTAGTGGTAAAAGATTTACAAAGTCGCAATTACACGTGATGACTTCACGATTGTTGACAAGAGGTCTTGAAACTTCAATGGAACGAAGGGAAAATCTTGATGAGTTAAGAGATATGAAATTACAATATATCGTTGAAGATTTTAAAAACAGGTAAAAATTTTAATGCTGTATAATATATTAATAACAATATTACAAATAATAATAGTAATAAAAATAAAAATAAAAATATTCTTAATAAAAATAAATTAGAATGGACTATGCTTTAACATGGCTTGATGAAGAATGGTACCATGATTCCATAATGCAAAATGAAAACTCTTCATATGTATGTAAACTAATTGGCAAAAAATATTGCAATTAAGTTATAAAAAGTAATTAAGTAAAGTTATATATTTAGGAGCCAAATTATACTAAATGGTTAAATAGATTATTAGACAGAATCATGCCTGCCCTTGAAGATCATACTTTTACACAATTTATACTAGATATACCAGAAATATTCGAAGATGTAGTTAATAGAATTAAAATATTTTGCAATGATCCTGACAGGTGATATTATTAGAATTTATTTGTTGATTATTTTTACCAAGATATGTTATTTATTATTATTATACATTTCTATAGAATGTCACTTGGATTTTCAACCTTGAGTGAATTGGTTAACTTAAGACCACCTGCAAGAAATTTTTGTTTGAAAATATTACTGGCTTATTGTCTCTACAAAGGTGTGTAAATAATAATAAATAATATGCGCACATGCAAGTATTAAAAATCCCATTGATGCTTAATATGTTTTTAGATGATAAGATACGTGGACATGCAATAATGGTTACAAATAAATGGTATCCTACACATGTTAGCATTTCTAGAAAAATAGAGACATTTGCATTAGAATCATTAAGGCAACTTTGTAATGAAACACCACCACCAATTTTTGATTTTCATTATCATTTTGTTGATTCAGTTGATGTTGCAATGAATATAATTGATGATGGTGGTGGTGGTGGTGTCAATGATAATAAGGATGATGACGAGATGATGACGAGAGAATGGACACAACAAGATGTCGAGCAACATCTTGATTTATTTTTTTCTTTATGTTCAAAGAAAGAAAACTTATACAAAGAGTAAAGATTTTTTATTAATAAGTTCCTTCCAAATAAAAAATAAAATCTTTAATTGATTAATTAATTAATCAATCAATATTATATATTTATCATGCTAGATTATTGAATATTTATGTGAATACAAATGAATCAGTGAAAAGTATGATTCGTAAATACGCATCAAAATTAGTAGAGATTATAGGATTGAATGGGTTACTGGAAACTTTTCAGAATTTCCCAGATGGTACACAAGATTTAGTATTAAGAATGCTGATTGTATATACAAACAATAACGGTAGGTAACTTTAATAAATATTTTTTATTTTATATACGTGTTCTTTTTTTTTTTTTAAATAAAAATATTATTTTTTTAGTACTACCGCCTAAATTGGTCAGTACTGTGAAGGAAGTAATTGCTGAAAGGGATTTGGATGGACGATTCCTTTTTCCAACAATTGCATATTTTGAAAAGGTGCCATCATTACTATTATTTTTTATTAGTTTAATTTAATTAATTAAATCATTATTTAAAAAATTTATTTTTATTTTCAGGAAGATATTTTAAAACATCTTCCAAAAGTTTTATTAACACTTGATGCCAGTGAAAAACAACGTGATCTTGTTAAAAAAGTTTTTCATAAAATTTTAACACCATCTCATGGTTCTACAAATCCTACGAATTCAACAGTGACCCCAATAGAATTACTAGTGGCAATCCATAAGATGTCAGTTCCATTAAAACAATTGGCTGAAGGTATAATAATAAATTTTTTTTTTTGTAAATAATCAAATAACGTCATATATATATTTTTTTTAATAATGAATAATCTATTTATTCATTTATTTATAATTAGGAATACATATTTGTTTTTTATTACCAACTATTTTTACATCTCAAGTTTTAGCAGCAGTACTACATAATTTATCAATAATGTCTGAAATGCCTACTTTATTTATGAGAACTGTATGTGTGATTTTATTTAGTATTCTTTTTCAAAAAGAAATCTCTCGCAATAATATTAATAGTAGTGAATATTATTATTAATAGGTAACGTTAAGTGTTCGTTCATTCAAGACTATTTCAAGTTTTGTGAATGAATTATTGATACGTCATATTAATCAAATATGGGATAATGACATGTTACGTAAAGGGTTTATTTTATATTGTGCAGAGTTTTGTCTTAAGGTTTGCCATTATTTGTATAATATATTATATATTGTTAAATATAAGTTAATTGTACAATAATAAATAATAACACATAAATTTTTTTGTTTTTTGTATAGATACAATCAAATAATTTTTCATTTTTATTAGCATTACCAAAAGCTCATATAATAGAAGTATTATCACAACAAGATCCAAAATTAAAAAATTCACTAAAAGAATATATTAAGAGTATTAGTACAGATACGAGAAGACTGGAAAAAGAAATTCCACAATATTTGATTGAATATTTAAATGAAGATTAATAATAAATATTCAATGTTTTGGAAGAAAAAATTACCATTTAGAAAATTTAGAATTAGATGAGAAAGTAATTTTTTAAAAAAAATTTTGAACTTTAATTATTATAAATAAAAAATTCTTATTTATTACACATATTTTTTACCTACCTTGATATTTTTTTTGTAAATATATTTATTTGATTATTATAATTATAATCGTTATAATTATAGCCAGTCAGGTTTATGTTTTTGATCATAAGGAACACTTTCTGAAAATATTTCAATAAACTATGTGTGATGTAATAATTAATGGAAGGTAAAAAAAAAAATAGATACTTTTTTTGTTCGTTAATAAGATTTTTATAATATATATACCTCTTGATCAGCCAAAGCTTTTGTGCCAGCAAATCTTTTGTATTCATCAAATATCGAAGTCATTGACCATTTTTGTAATTTACGAAGACATCCTATTAAACAACCTATTCTATGCTAATATGTTAAAGATATAAGTAAGATGTAAGAATATTCCAAAGATTGATTATTATGACAAAAAAAAAAAACAAAGACGGTCTTTTTACACATACTTTTCCTTTATTACAATGAATTAATACTAAGCAGTCAAAAGATAGATTAAAAAATATATGTGTGTGTGTAATATTAATTAGAATTTTTTCTCTCCCACACTCCAAAATTAGAGTCAATGATTATTTATTTCTTGTTCTCTTTAATTTTTTACTTTTGAATACCTGGATGATTTCTTTTGTCTGTAATTTTCTTTTTTTTTTCAGATTATTTAAATATTGTTATCATTAATTCAAGAAATAACAATGATTATTATTATTATTATTATTATTATTATTTATGCATGATTCATCCCATCCCCATCCAATTACCTAAAACTTTGACTAATGCACTACTAAGTTCTTTCTGTTCAATTTCAACAAACGGCTCCTAATTTTTCATTCGTAAAAAAATTTTACTAATTTTTCAATATATATATATTATATAATTATTTTTGTCAATGTTGTAATTGCTTGCTTGCTGCTTACTTTGTTAGGTTCAATTCTATAGTGGAAAACATTAATCTGTTGTTCTTCAACAAATTGTTTCAAGTCTTCATTAAAGTCATCAGCAGATAAATACCTTTTAAGAATTAAAAACATATATTTAATTAAATTCATGCTAATTGTATCATATAAATGTAATATATAGATATAGATATATACATTATTGATTTCAACCCCAATTTCTTTAGAAAAGGAAAGTTTTGTCGATTTGGATGTCCAGCTCTATAAACTCCAGGAGCTACCATTGCAAAGTTTAATGGGGGAACCACTTTGTAATCTTCATTAGAAATTTTGGTTCTTGATATAATTTTGGATGAGAGGCTCTTGTTGTTGTTTTCATTATCATCAACAACAACATCGTTGTTATTATCAGTGTTGGTTGTCATTTTAGATTTTTAATCGATGATGATGATCTCTGGAAATCATTTTTAAATTTTCGCTTTTTCAATTCAGATATTTCAGATAATATAATAATAATAATAATAATAATAATTTTTTTTTAATATAATGAATCTAAAACTGGTGACTGAAGAGAATCCTGGTAATTACAAAGTTGTTTTGTATTTACTGTAAACTATGCTATTATTAAATGGGAGAAAAAATAACAGTAGATGATAATCGAGTTTGTGGTCCTGTTTATAAGAAAAAATCTTGTGAAAAGAGATCATGATAATAACGACAAGAAAAGCACAACAAAGAACATTACTTTCTAATATTGTCAGTTCCAGAAGCACACTCGAATTAATTGAAGATTTAATGTTTAATTTTTTCGCTTGCGCTAATATATTTTTAGAAAAGGTAAACTCTCTTTTTCTTTTTTCTTCAATAATAAAACAATAACATAAAATTACAAAAACACCAGCTTTATTAATTTTTTTAATTATCTTTTTAGTTAGTTTCTTTAAAATTCAATAATTTGATTTAAGAAGTTAGATTCTCGTTACATGATCCGACATGGTTTTACTTTATTTCCGCAGAAAATCATGTCTTGAATAATAAATAAATTATAGAAGAAAATAAAGATAAACAACGATGTCACAGGAGCGGTGGCCTAATGGATAAGGCATCAGACTTCGGATCTGGGGATTGCGGGTTCGACTCCCGCCCGCTTCGGGGAAAAATAAAAATCTTTTGAAAGAAATTAATAAAAAAATTTGACATGAAGAATAAATGATTTTTTATTTATTATATTATATTATATTATGATAATGATGATTTTACTATGCATGCTAATGAATGATGATTAATTAGTTAATTTAAAATAAATTATAGTTCAAATAATAATAATAAAATGTTTATGGATTGTTCAATTTTTTTTTCCTTTTTCTTGTACTATTGTAATTAAATTATTTCTTAATGATTTTCAAACGTAGATTCAGATGAAGGGTTGGATCCAAACCCACAGCTTTCGTCCAACTCTTTCTCTTCTTTCGTTAATCGCATTAATGTAGCTTCAGCTAAAAGTTCACGTTTAGAAAGTATTTTAGCACGTTCAGTATCACCGCCTAACACATAAGCACCACCTTGCCATGATCTAGTATCAATCCCTTCTTGTTCTGATGGATTATAAAACTCCTCATTGGAAAGTTTTTTGCCATCTGATAAAGTCCAATCTAATGAGACTATTTATATAAATTATAGCAAATTAAATTAAAAATGCAGAAAAAAATAAATATTAACAACATTATTATTATTGTTATTATTAAACTTACCGGCATCTTTATTAAGTTGTCTATTGAGTTGATGGAAATTTTCATCGTGTCCATCCCAAACATTATGTGTTAACTCATGCAATAAAACTTTTTTAATATCAGCATAATGTCTGAATCCTTGCAAATCATCAGTTCTCAATCTCAACGAAATTGATTCTCCTTTGTTGACGTTATATCCCAATAATTTTGTATTATTAGATGATAGAAACATTCTAGAAAAATCCATCTCTTGCAACGTTCCAACTGAAAATTTATATTTTTGCATTATGGCTTTTATCCCTCGATCATCGCGTAACCTTTCAAGTATTTCATGTGCTTTTTCAGATTTTGGAATTTTTTCAATTACTCTTATTTGATGAAACGTGTATTTCTGTGAATTTAAACCTTGAAATTTTTTCAAATTTTTATATGGCTAAAAATCATTATGTACAAAAATATGTATTTTTAAATAAATAAGTTAACAAGAGGGGAGAAAAGAAAAAAAGAAAATTGTATTTCTAATAGTTACGTTAATCGCATATTTTGATTCGTGTTTTATCGACGACGACTTTGATTCAGATTCTTTTAAATTTTGGATTTCCTGTTGTGAACTACCCATTAACATCACCTTGGTACCATTTTTAATATTACCTTCTCGTAATGTGAAAGCATCTTTCAATAAAACTAAAAAAAAAAAAATAGATAAATTTTAACTTTTTTAGGTTAATAGATTTTAATTGTCATAAAGATATTATTGTCTTTTACCTTTAAATATCAATTTTTGATATTCTTTAGGAATATTTGTTAATTCTTCAAGATGTTCTTTTAGTTCCAATATTGTTTTATCAAAAGGGAAATCTTTTATCTGGAGAGCTTTTCCTTTGAAATTTACTTGAAATGAAACTAAAAAAAATCATAATAAAAAAAATAAATGAGAGAATGTAAAAGTTATAAAATAAAAACCAACGTACTATTTATTTGTATAGACAATAATAATAACAATACCTTTTTCTACAAGCATTTTTTTTTTTTTTTTTTGATAAAAATAATTTTTCCTTGGTTAAAAAAAGTCTCCACATGCCTTATTTATAATTTTTTGGAACATATTATTAATAGAAAAGATTTTTCTAGTACATTTTTTTTTAGAATAGTAATATTAATAGTAATTATTTATTACGGGGTAATTGATTTACCGGTTGTTAATCCTTTATTATTTTTATTAATTATATATATATATATATATATATTAATTATTATTATACTAAAAAAAATTTTTACCTTTAAAAAAAAAAAAAAAAAAAAAGAAATGATAGAAATGCACAGAGAAGAAAGAGCCGTTGATGTCGTTGCTGATACTTTAAATTCAAAAATCGATAAAAGTCGCAGTGATAATAATAAGTGCGATAAAAATATATTTCAAGAAGAAACGATAATCTTAAATGTTGGGGGTGTAAAGGTTATTATTATAATATATCGTTAGTGTCTTTATCATCATTGCCATATAATTAGCATTATGATAAATATTATTAATATCATTATCATTAACACATAATATTGCCAAACAAATATTAATATACAGTATGAAACATATCGTTCAACGCTTACAGCATATCCACACACATTATTAGGGACAATGTTTGCAGAACGTAACGTAGAGTTATTGAGACCAATAAATGGAAATGAATATTTTATAGATAGAGATGGTAGTTTATTTCGTATTATAATGCAATTTTATCGTACAGGGAAGATTTATTGGCCATCTTTTGAATTTGGCCAAAAAAATAAATCAATATTGCCATTTTCAAAGGAAGAAATAGAAACAGAATTAGACTATTATCAATTACCCTATCAAACCCCTTTATGTAAACAATCATCATATGCAGTTTTAACTCGGAAAGATTTAGGACTTGCATTTTCTTGTAACCCGGTAACAGAGAAACTAGATGAATTTGTTGTAACATTGAGTAATGTGATCAAAGAAGTTATGGCAAATTTTGAAACTGAAATAACGGTAACTTTTAGTAAGAATGGTTATAATCCATTTTGTGGTTTTGGTCTTCACTTTATTAAAAGTTCTTCGATAATGGAAACTACTGAGAAACTTCTTAAACCATTTGGATCTGTTGGTTACCTATTTATACACAAGTATGGTGCTGATATTGGATCCTATTTAAAATCTGTGATCCCCGAATTGTCTTGGCAATATGGTTACTCTCAAAACAGGGATCAACTTAAATTACACATGTCTATTACAAATTCATTGTCG